AATTCGGAACATAGCCGAATTTCCCCAGCCGCCGGTCGACTTACCGGTAGGCCGACCTTGGTCAAACCGACCTCGGTCCTATTCCCCATTCAGAGAGGATGCCTCGGTATTTGCAATTGCAACAGTGCCTCTCTATCCCGAACGGACGGATACGAGTCGGAAGTAAGTGTTTAACCGTGCTTATCCGACCTCGGTGAATTTAACCGGTTACGACGGGTAACCCGGGAACCGATGCCCCGGACCCAACTTACCGGATGAAAGTGGACAGGAGACCCCGTGGAGACTCAACTGCCCCGTGGACGTCATCCTAGTCGGAATAGGACCCCCGGACAGATTTTTGCAATTTTTTTTTATTATTAGCATTTTTTCCTAACAAACGGAATTGTATTTTTCTAGTTCGATCTCTTTGACAGATCTGTTTTGTAACCCCTTTTTGCTCACTGGAATTGTGATTAAACTTTATTTCATACTTTCTTTCGCGCTGTATACAACTTTCATTACACTTTTCTTTCACATTGTTCTCCGTTGCCAACAGAAGCAAGAAGCCAGCCAACAGAAGCAACACCGGTCCAACGAAACGCCCGAGCGGCTTCCGGATTTTTCGGCCGTGAGTGGCTTCCACTCATGGGTTCGGAAGTGAAGAAGGGACGGTCGACCAGACACCGGACTCCCACTGCCAGAGGACGCGTACCAGCGACCCCGCATTGGGTCCGACTGGAGAGTTGTGCGGTACTGGTGCGGTACCGAGTCGGAGCATCCTTCGCAGGAGCTCGGATTCCCGCCCAGAGGCATGTCAGAGGCACATGACTGCGCCTGGTGCATACGGCCCACCATGGACGTACTGCACTCATGCTTGCCATACCGCCTCTCTCGCTGTACGTACGTGTGCTGCTGCACTGCACTCATACCCGCTGAAGCGGATATATGCGGCGCACACACTGAGCATACTTGCTCTCTCGTCCCTCTCTCGCTGTATGACTCAGCGTACGCTCGCGTTGGATTGAGTCCAGTCTGCGCATCATCACACAGCTGATGGCACACAGCACGTGCTTGCCGCCAGTTGCTTCTTTCACGCCTTGACGAACGCTCAAGAGCTCTTCTAGCATACACTTGCTTGCTTAGCCATCAGTGCTTTGTTTTGCTTTCCTGCTATTACGCAGCATTGTTCCCTTTCTTTGTCAATAAAGCACACTCGTGATCTCCTCGCGCTTGCCTGTTACAATTTAGAATTTCAGGCACGCTCGGCATCATCCTGAAGATGGGAAAACGAAGATTGCCAAAAGTCGAATTTTTGGAATTTTCAAAAGATGCCAGGTTCAGCCAAAATATTCAGCCTGACAAATTTCCGATCCATAGCTAAAACTCAGACCAAGCTCAGACCAATCACACCTTTCGTGATGTGAGGTCAAATTTAATTTTTGATAGCACGACCACTTTCGAATTCCGGTGCATTTTGCTTCGGAGCAATCGCACTAGGTAGATCACTATGTAAATTATTTTATACATTTATTTTATTTATATCCACCGTACATTCATTGCATCACTAATAATTCACACGTCGCTAAAGCAGAACCAACTAACCTGCTAGCACTTACTCAGTACTGTACTTTAATTAACGTGTCTGCGCTTAGCAACGGAAGGACACATTCGTGTTTCAATTGACACGCGACGCCGTTTTATTTCTCTGACGAGGTTCCTCGTTCGTCAGTCGTCAAGTGGGCTAATTACAGTAAACGATTTCGAACCCGTGTTAACCGCACCCGGCTACAGTTCGCGGTGTACTCTACTTGATAATAATTATTATAATCTGCTCAGTTATGTTATTATCAGTATTGTCAGTTGCTGTTGCGATCACTGTTCGATGTTTCCCACCCGCCCCTGCAGCAATCCATGCGCAAGTGTTTTGTCCCAGTTTTTGTGTTGCCTTGATTACTGTCGTCCTCCGTGCAATCCCGTAATCGTAACTTGCGTCATACCGCTCAACTAGGACAGCCTATCTTTGGCTGCACTGAGTTGTAATTATTAGATTTTTTCTTGCAGTCAAATAAAGGTCACACACCGTGCAGCCGCATCCGCCGGCTACACAATTTCCATGTCATTTAGCACCATCTCACAATATCCTTTGCACGTTACGGTAAGTAAATTTCAAAATGTATGATTATCTAATGCAGACGGCAACAGTAGATACGCTGCGCATATATTTCTTATTTGTCATAAAATCGTTGAATCATTCCTTCTGGTTTAAAATCTTTGAAATGCTTCGTAGTTAATTTGCGCGGTACACGCACAGACCTGTGCGTCACTGTCACCGGCCTGTGCGAGCCGTCAGTAGTTGACAGTAATTTGAGTGTTTCGCAAAGAGTTTGCCCATGCATCGTCTGTTCGCCTGGGCTGTCACCCATTTCCCGATGGAGATGTCACATGAGCGCTGCGGTGGCCCGCCATTTTGTCGACCGTTACATCGTCGAACAGTCGACCCGTGACGACGTCGAACCAACGTTTAACCAAACCATTCTCACATTTCTAGTTTTCTTGGGTTTCTGAAGGTTTCTTAGGTTTTGTGGGTTTTTTAGCTGCCGCCCTCATGACGGTCGACATTGTGTCGGTCGACAAAGCATTCACCTTTCTGCCGCAGATCATCCACCTCTCTTTAAAGGTCACTCACCTTTCTGCGGAGCAGTGACGGCATTCATTGATCTCGTAGCGGGCGTGAATACACTCAATGGCGCTATTCTTAGATCGATCGGTCCACGAAATTTTGTTCCCGAGTCCACATCGTCCGACTATTTAAGGTGGAGGCGCACCGTGTCGTTAACGACTTCAAAACACTCAAAGTGAACGGCTGTTCTTCCTCTCGGCGACGGGCAAAGTTGCTGTTGGGAATAATCGCAGTGTGCTTCTTTCTTATAGTAGACCGGAAGCCCGCTTTGGTTTTACTTTTCTCTCTCGTCCGCTTAACGCTCTATCCTGAAGTGACTCTGAATGGTGCGTCCGGATCTGGCAGAATGTTGGCGGAAGGTTCAAATCAAATGTTCACCAAATTTTCGTGATCGTTACAATCGTCTAATGGCGAATCAGTCTTGGAAGTCGCAGGAGAGTGTCTCCAGTTGTACCCTATTCTTCGAGTAGTGAAAGATTCTTCTCCATATTATTGGAAAATTCAGTCGCTTGTTTTCTTGTCTGTTCCTTAACACTTAGCGCATTCTCTTAAATGCTAGTGGTCAGGAGCTAGCGCGAAAATATGGAGCGTTGCAAATTTTCCAATTAATGCATCTTTCATGAATTCTTTCCGATCGGGCGAGAGCTTCTATACCTCCGTAGTACGCAAAAAATTACTACAGCGCAAAGGCCACAGCCGGATGCCGCTCCAGTACCATATTCCTTAATGTATAATAAAGGAAACGTCCCAATTATCCGTACTTTCGGTTAAATTTGTCATACAGTAGGTTATACTTTAATGCATAAATAAATATGAAATAAAACATATATGGTACAAATAAACAATTAACAAACTGCTTAGTGATCCGGCACTATTAACAAACGAATCTTTCGAATAATTCGCGGTATGTCGGGGTCGAGGATAAGTAATGATGGAGTCGCCGTCCCGCTCTTTTCGACTGCGTTCCTGTTTGACGTAGTGCAGTGAAGTACGATCTTCTGATCGACTGCGAGTATGATCGTTTGAGCGGCTACGTGAACGACTGCGGAGTCGCTCCTCTCGCCGGTGGCCCGTGGAACGATCAGGATTCTCAGTTTGCCTCTGAGATCGCGAATAAAGCTGTTCAGTATGGTGGCGATGGTGTTTTTTCTCGGACACTGTCGAACGCTTATCGCTACGCCCTTTGCTGATCAAAATGTATGTCGGCATGATTATACAGTACGATAACAAATGAGCAAAATGCCGAGGACGTTCTAAAATCTAGGAGAACAAACATTCAACAGTCTCAGGAAGTTCAACGTGCCCCCTACTTCAAGGCTACGAAACTATCGTTAATCGTTTCCACCAATGGCCTTACGCTTTAAAAAATTACTACGACCGCTTCCGAAAGGAATCGCAGCTACCTTTTCTGGGTTTTCTGTGACGGCATTACAAGATGTTTAATTGGCTACATTTCTAAGCGATCGATGTAATTGGTTTCAGTAACTCGAAACTTAATCCTTACTCGATTGGTCAGCAAACGCTAAAATTACACAGTATTCGATTAGCTAATCTTATACGGTTTCAGTAGTAGTAGCAATTTTTCCCTTTTTGTTCTGAGTGCGCGCCGTTGATTTGCGTCGTCGATTGTAAATTTGAAGCTGGGCACTCTACGATCTTCACTTGTTTTTACTTTATTCAGGTAGGTATTGTTTTGACCTTTCTACTGTCCTCATTGTCCTGCAGGTAAGTAGTGTTAATATACACGCCCGAACAGATAATTCATATTAAGTAATTTTTAATAGGACTTGTGTTTGAAGAATCTAAAGTTTAATCGCATTCCTAAATGTAGGGAATCAGTGACTGTTTAGCGGGTTGCAAAATCCGGTAGCCAACAGCCAGATACAATACTAGATGTGTCACATTTCAAATGAATCGTAACTACATATTAAGACTTGCATGCAGTGTACTCCGTATTCAAAGTAGCAGTGGAACCGCGGGTAATTTGCCGCGTTCTTTGCTTACTTTTTTTACTGAGTGCCTGCTTTCTCGGTTGATTAAGCGCGAGGAGCGAGCGACAATGTAGCACTGGCAGGAAATTCTGTCGTGTACACAGATATGTTACAATTATTTATGCTTAATATTCGGCAGTAGCTCTGGTTGCTTTACTTAATAGAGCATTTACAACGCCAGTTAGATGTGCCAGAAATGGCAGGATACCCATTTATGTGCGTATGGCAGGATATACCCACGTAATACGTAATTTGTACACATGTATGCACATAATATTACTAATTACTATATAGATATTACTGTAATAAATATATTTAGTTTAGTAATATTAGGGTATGCAGTATATGCAGCATATTCAAAGGTGCGTAATAATCTGAACACAGACCTGTAAAAACGTTGCAGGACGCACGTACAGCCTGTAAGCGTGTTTTTAACTACTGTACTTAATCTGGATAAAAGAACAGACGGCCGGCGAAAATTGATCTGCAAGTTCCGCAGTTAAAAACCTGAAGACGTGTTGCACCAACTAGACTTCACTAGTTCACTGTCAGATATGCGTAATATTGACCGGAGCCGGGTTGATGTGGTACGAGCACGTGGCGGACAACGGTCTGATTATCGGTGTGCCCCATCTCAGCCGAAACCGTTAATTTATAGCGTTTATAGATGGATCAAGCAGGACGGCAAAATCGTATATGTACTCAACAGAGTTTCCGCGTTCCGGTGCACGTGCTGGTGCGGCGGAACCCGTCGGGTCCGTGGGTTTGGCTAGCTGGGAAAAATGTCATTTTTAGTAAGTACATAGATACGGACGACTTCGTACACGTTAAATTTCTTGAGGCATGTTTTTTTGCTTGTACCCACAGTATCCTGCCGCATTCCGCGGTATCCTCTACGTATCCCTCATGTATCCTTACCATTTTTTGACGTCTGTTCGATTGTTGCCGTATCCCTCCGTATCTCTGCAGTATCCTCTATGTATCCCACATGAACTCCGTTAAAAAACCTAAGAACCTAAGAAACCTAAGAAACCTAACCTAAGAAAACCTAAGAACACCTAGAAAACGTAATAACGGAATACATGGAGGATACGACGCAAAGGTTACCGTGGGGATAATGTGGGATACGCTAATTAAAAAGCATGTCCATTTTAACAATATTTGAAATATGTGCCGAATGCACACTAAGTGAAGTAGCTAGTATCCCACCGTATCCCACAGTATCCTTTACGTATCCTTGATGAGTCCTGCTGAATGCAGGTTAAAGGATCATCAGCAACTGAAGTATCCCAACGTATCTTAACGTATCCTTACTGTTTCTGTCGAGTATCCGAATTACACTTACATTTGGGATGCAAATAAGCATACTGCAGAGATATGGTGGGATACTGCATTAACTAAAACAAAGTAGAAAATTTGAGGGATACATCAAGGATACGCAGAGGATACTGTGGAATACGGTGGGATACTCTGGATGCAACTAAAAACACATGTCGGAAAAAATTTAACGTGTACTAACCGTGCCATAGGTGAACGTACTCACACCTGTACGTACACATGTACTCTCGTATGTTTATTCTTTTGAAACCGTTGAGTCGGCATACTATTCATTAGCCCTGTTTAATTAACTGCTTCATACCTCCCATACGTTCATAAACAAACTGGTTGAGAACTGATAAGCAAAATTAAATTAATTCGGCCATCTGTCCGACGTATCCCTTCGCCCATTCCAGTCGTGCATCACAATCCCGCAGGTACGGATGCTCTTTCGCCGTCCCTACAGCGATTCTATGATAATGCTTATTGATCTTTTGCAAACACGGCAGGAACTCGTTGTACACCGCCTGCACGGCGTACCGCGGCGGGTCCTCCGCTGCGCGGCGCGCCAGATCTTGGATGATCTGCTTGTGCGTGTCCAGCGAGGTGTTAATCAGTCCGTCGTCGACGAAGGCCAGAAGATCGTCGAAGTTGCCGACTTTCGTGGCCAGAGCGTTGTAGCGTGTCTGGTCTTGCACGGTGGACATGCGACGGGGTTGGGTGGTGTCCCTGCGGGTGGTTGGCGCTTTGAGAATGGATTTCAATGATGGCGGTTGTTCTGGTCTCGTTTGTTCGGACTCCGTCATTTCTCGCTGTGGATGCTCACTGGTTTGGTCCGTTGTGAGGATTTTGTTAGGCTCTTCGCTGGTCTCTGTAATATCCATTTTAAATCAAGTTTCGGACGTCACTTCAAACGTTTTATTTACGTTTTATAATCTTTCTGAGTCTGGTCACCTACAAAAGCCAGGAATTTCCATGGAAACGGTTTCAGCTGTTTGTTGCAGCCAGTTCTTCTTTAAGCGTTTTGATGCGTTGAATATTCCGGTAGTACATTGATTTCGCATTTTCAACCAGTTGCGTTATCTCATTAAAATCCTCTTGTGCTTGCTGAAGCTTTTCTTTCCACTGTGGATCTGGAAAATTGTTTCATTGACTAAAATATGAAATTTATAATAATAATAAGTCGGAAATAATTTTTTATTTTATTATAAACTTGCTTTACGAAGTAATAAACACATTGAATGAATAATAAAAAATTAGAGCGATAAATATTCAGTATAGTTGAAGTTATTACTTATTACTAACTAATTAACAAAAATTATTGGTAATCAGAATTTAATCATAAAACTTGTATTCAAAAATGCGGATGTTGTGCTTTATTACCAAATTCTTTTCTAATAGTGGCTACTTCATTCTGTTTGATTTCCACCAGCTTCTTCTGTTCGTCGATTACGGCCCTCCATCGGCGCTGCTCGGTTGCTCGCAGTTCTTCCTGTGCTGAAATTTTCTGAACTAGAGTTTGTTCGTGTACCTGCACTTTTTCGGATTGGGCAACGACATTCTGAATTTCTTCGCTCAGCGATTCCGCTTGCTGTTGTTCGAACTTTTGCTCACCAACCAGCTTTTCCTGTTCCTCACGCCACCCGGAAATCTCCGCTTGTATTCGGTGAATCTCCGCATTATTCTGTTCTTTGCGTTGTCGTAGATCTCCTAACTGGCGCTGCAGTTCTTCCTTTTTTATTTCTTCCACATTTACTAAGCAGTGCAATTCCGTCAAATGGCTATTTAGGTCTTCGTTGACCCTTTCCGCAGAAGCACGCTTTTCCAGCTGCTGCGCGATAAGATGATGCAGCTTCTCCGTAAACATCCCGGATGGAAGGTCACCTAACAAATCCGCCATTTCTCTGCCGAAATTCTCTGCGACCAATCGGTGAACCGAACCCTTCACTTCTGTTAATTTTCGACAGTTCTCGCAGTTTTCATGGGGATCATAGGAAAACTCAGTCTGACTATCGGCCGCTATTTTCTCTACCGGTGCCCTTCCCACGCCCCACGCTGCCAGCATTTCACGGAACGAGGTGACGTAGTGTTTCCCTAACGAAGCGAGTGAGGCCGTTCGAACCGCGTTCTTTTGGTCGGGAGTTCCAGAGCAGCGGCGGAATACAGCGATGGCCATCGCCATGATCATGGCGACCCGGTCTACCGCCAGTTCCAGTAAGACGGTGTGTGACCTTTCCAGCTCGGCGGCGGTGCAAGTTGGGCGGGGGTGACCGAAGCACTGTAGCAGGGTCGTGACATCGACGTCCAAGGCGGCACTGCCGGGATATTTCCAAGACCGGAATTTACTAACCGGAAGGGAGAGTGAAGGCGCTTGAGATGTCAGTAGACGCCGCAGGATTTTATCCAGCGTCTCGACGTCTGCGCGCAGGTTGGCGATGAGGATCCGCCGGTCGAATGTTAATTCGTCCATGCGTCCCGGAATATTTTTCAATGTCCCGGAAATATCGACCGTCTTGCAAGCCAATAACTATACAAAATTATTAAACGTGCTCGATTACTTATCATAAATTGTTCAAATATTAATGTGTAAATTTTGATTTTCATCAATAAAATGTTCAGCGTTTAACAAAATTTGTTTGAGATGGCCCGTTATGATTCGCCTGAATGCAAAGCGGAAATAAACGCGCATCGTGGCTGTCCAAACAATTTATTTTTGTTATTTTTTTAATAATCGGCAACTTTTTCTTATTATTAGGATAATTCCATATTATGTATTTACACTGTCCATGTGATATTGCAGTATCATTAAAGTATACTTTACACTGTACTTACTTTGTCAACGCGTTGAAGAAGCAGACCTAAAATCGAACCCAGGACATGAGTTGTAATAGCAACATTGTAAAGCCAGCATTATGCAGCGTGCACCGATGATACTGATGCTGTCATAATGCTCACAGCCATCGAATGCATGGAAAAACAGAAATCATTATTGAATAGAATTATTTTCAGTTAAACAGATTCATCAGAAGAATTTTTTCAGAAGACAGTACATTCATCTGTGTCAAGTACAGTATGTACAGATATGGGGCTAACTTTGAAATAATATATTTGCGAACGACCTGGCGATTTCAGATGTTTTCCGAATGATTCTGTGCCTTTTATTTTAACGAAACGCTTTACATAATGCGACTATTCCTACTGTTGCTGCCATCGCTTATTTTCCTGTATTTGTGCATATGCAGTTGCAATGCTTATATCCAGTATCGAAGCCTGGGCGGGGATGAGCTGAGATTCTGTTTAAATGTTCCCGTGAGTAATTTTGCCTGCAGTATATTTTAGCATGCTTTTTCTATTCTCGCTGACGTGAATAATCTCGAAATACTCGTATTCTCACTGCTGCAAGAGCATCCCGTCTCGTAAACTGTTGCAGTTAGAACTTCTGAACTTCACTGCGTTTATTTTGCTGTTTTCTCCCTGGATTTCCGTTACGTAGCAGTGGTAGCACGGACCTTGTTGTCACTGTACCTTCATCACATATACGTACTTATATTCGTTTGCGACTGAAAGCAAACTCGAGGTCTTATATTAACATTAATGAATTTTTTTGCTTATATACTGTTTTGCTTATTTTTTGCTTTTGCTTATTTTTCTGCTTATCTCTTGCTCCTTATATTTTTATTTGTGTGTTGCACCTCGTATTTTTATATTATATTTATTTTCGATTTTTTATTATCAATTTGTTGATAATGTCAATGTATTGCGTGTTTTCCTGTAGGCACTGGTATCGTACATGGGCGACTCGGCCGCCAACATCAACCGTGACGACATCGACCCCGCCTCCATCTCCTGGCAGGTCTCCCCGCCCAACTACTGCACCTGCAACGGCACCAAATCCTGCACGGTCCCCTCCCTCGACATCACGCTCCTCTGCACACGGCCCCAGGTCTTCACCGTCACCTTCCAAGCGGCTGCTAACACCACTCCCACATCCGACTCCGTTAGACTCCAGTTTACCTACTGCCAGGATCTCTACGGATGGTACGCTGTGCCCGTAACCAACACCACGCCAGCAATTCGCGATCTGCAGTGGAATCGCGACGTATTAACCGTCCGCGCTTGGATTACGTCGCAGGCGGCGCTCTCGGCGGAGGAGGACAGCGGGATGGCGGTGGTGCCGTCGGCATACTCGGCGCGGTTGACCAAGACGTTCCAGGAGATGGGCTTATCGCCGTACTTGAAGACGAATTTTCCCGATCAGCGGGATGTGTATTTCTTCTGCTCGAATCAGTCGGTGCGGGTGTATGATGTCGGGAAGGCGTTGTGGACGTTCACCTGTCCGCGGAATGGCAACGATCGTTACGGTGTCTTCGGGACAGGTACGCAGGTGCGTTCACAATACTTCAAACACATCGACTATATTATCTTTACTTTTACTAACAGCGAAATATAGAATTTCGTTTTTGAACAGATTTGTGTAGAAAACATTTTGCGAATAACCATTCACAATTTCGAATATTTCTGATATTCTTCAAATCAAAAATATACCCAACATATGTGTGCGGTGACCTTTCCTGTTTTGGCTTGGTTTTTGAAAACAGTGCATGCGGGAAATTGAAAATTTCTTTTGGACGAATTGTGCCGCATAAAACTTGTAACTAACATTTCTGCGACGAGGGATCTCTAATTTAATTTGGATGTAAAATGTTACGGAAATCGATTTGCGGTGACCTTTCGTATATGTTTATGTTGATGGCTACCAGGTGGAAGTGTACCCGGTTCCGAGCTGACATACCAGCTGAAAGTTGCCGTGAAGTTAAGCGGGCGCTATGATTATCTCGGCTACGGTGTCTCCGAATCCTCCTTGACCTTTTCCCGACCGAAATTTAAGTTATCACCCGACGCATCTGCTGCAACCTTCACGCACCAATTACCTTCCCCGACGCTGCGTTTCGACCCGTGCCATACCCACACCGCTGTGGTGTTCTTGGAAAACAACGCCATTATCTACACCGACGACGAATTCACCACAATGCGACCTTTCACCGTGGAATTGGACGGGCGGACCAACGCCACCGTCATCGACATCGCCGTTACGAAATCCTTCATCCTGATAGCCACGGACACCGGCCTTTTCGCGCTGAATCGTGAAGACGATGATGGAGTGGCGGATAACATCTACAACACGACTATCTTCACCGGGATAAAAGCGACGTCCTGGTGCTTGTCCGGATCGCAGGATGATAGTCGCGATATCATCGTTGCGTGGAACGACACCACTATCTTCCTCGGATTACCACGGAATCTGCAGACGATTACGGTTCCAGAGTTCTTCAACCGGAGCACCTCTCAGATCGTGGACGTGGCCTTCGACCCGATTCCGGGATCCAGGAACCTCATCGCCCTGGTCCGTAATCCCGACGGCTTCATCGTGTATCATGTTAAAAGCGTGGCGCTGCGCTCGGCACCGATGTGGACCCAGATGAGCGACCCGATTATTACTGCGACTAGTGGACCCGCGCGGTTGTTCCCGCTGCTCGGCGGGCATCTGACGGTCATCGCGGTTCTCCCGCAGACTGTCTACCAGGTCTCTCAGATCGCGCAATCCGCGTTCACCGTCAACGGCGCCTCGGTCCCCATCGACCCCGTGCAGATGGTCCAGTTGGCGGAGACCGGTGACCTTTACTTGCTGACCCTGTCCAACAAGATCTACTACGGCACCGCGTCATCCTCCGACGTCATCCAGTTCAAGAAACCAGTCCTCCCCGACAGCATTATCTGGGTGGACCGGTTCCAACGCCCGGCGCTGGTGACCTTCGGCGAAACCACAACGAAACAGTTCTTCGACGTCCACACTGAGCTTCTCAACGCGGACTACGGGAAACCCTGTCCGTTCACCATCTTCGCCGTTAGCGGACTGGAACCCTGGTATCAACTGGACAGTCTGGACGAATACCGCTTCACCGCGCAGCTATGGTTCGACCGGACCGATCCGAACGCGGATACCCAAGATCTGGATATCACTATCCGCAACGGGAGCACCGGCGGGTACGGACCCACCACGGCCATCACGGTGACCCGGGATTTCCAGGACAACCTGGTGAAAATCACGAAGAAGATCCGCGTAACCAACGGCGCGTTCTTGTCCGCGTGGCTGAAAGCCTCGGTTAAGGGTTTCGTGACGAAAGACCCGAGCGCCATCACCATCCACCCCCGGACGCTAACCCCGTCGTGTTCGCAGCAGACGCAAGTGACGTCTTTCGTCCAGACCACGTGTCCGACCGGATTATCCATCCGTCTGGTTCCACAGTTTCCCTGCTCGAAGAATTACACCGAAGTGCTGACCGCGCCCATCGACTGCCCGTATTACGGGAACCCGTACAAACCACAACTCGCACTGTATTATTTCGACACGTTCATGGAAAACATCACCGTCGATTACGCGTTGCGGGAGTGTGAATGTACCGGCCGCACGGAGTTCACGTATGCCGTCAGTGAAGTGGACGCGGGATGCCGACGGGCGGCGCAGACGTTCGCCAACTGGAGCCAGAGTATGACGGTGCCGACGGGGACGACCTGGGGTCCGCGGACGTACCAGCCGTGTTATTATACCGGGGAAAACGATGCGGCACCGGTCAAGACGAGGAACTATGAGATTTTAAATGGTAGCAGTCAAAACGCGCTGGTTTTCCCGACGGATCATGGATCGGTGTACCGGTTTATCGCGGTCGTGCTGGCCAACAATTACAGCTTTTGCGATTTACAGGTACAAATTAAATTGTAAGAAAACCTTCTAATTTCATTTAACTTTTTTTCCACATGTTTTTAAAAGGTCGTTTATTTTTAAATAATCGGTCGATTTATTTAAGTAATTTTATTTCTCCGTCAAATTCTGGCCCATGCTTTTTCGGTAAAGAGTACTAATAACTTATATTCTATTAATACAAATAGACCAGTCTTCGGATAAAAACATTTTAATGAAATTTTAGAAAACCCTTTACGCAACTTTGTAATTGAACCGAAGTTTATATTTTTATTATTTTTGGCAGATTTACTGAATTTTATTTCTTTAATAAACCCTGGTCGATGTTTTTCGAGTTAGCAAAAAATAAGTAATCAATGAAAAATATTCAGTAAATTCAAATATTATGTCGAACTTCGGATAAAACAACTAAACAAATTTATATAAATCAAATCATAAACGACATATAAATCGAATTAAGTTGAATTTTATTACGAGTATTTTTGGCACATTCATTTATTTTTATATAATGGCTGTTCAAAAAATGCACCTCACGCCGAGCCAAAAGATTTACTTTATGAATGTTTAATGACCTTTCTTGCTGACTGACTACCGCGAGAATGTTTGATGACCTTTCTGCCTACTTTGATAGACGGCATTCATTGTGATACCGGAAGGCTACGGTGACATTCCCGACCCGATGATCAAGGTCTACATGTTCATTGCCAGCTGTTTAGCTTGTGCCATCTTCTTCCTGGTGTTGTACGTCATCTACGCGGTCAGCTGGAACGAGAACCGCGTGGGATTCGAGATGTTCGCTAAAGAGAGGCAACCACAAGCTTGGCATCTGCTGGCCGAGCACAACAGCAGCCTAATGTTTAGTGAGCCGCAGCCGGAATTATCTGTGGAAACCAACCGGATAAAAACTGAATAATCCGGCGGAAGCTCTTCGAAGGATAAGTGTTTAGGCATAGCGGTGCTTTTATTTAGCTTTTCGTGGTTTTCATGCGGCAGCGTTCGTCTTCCCTGCACTTCGAAAAATTTGAAAAAATGTTTGTGATAAAGGTCTGCTTTTTTGCTGCCCTAATATTCTTCGGAAACCGAATTTTTTTGCGGTAAATTATTTTTGCATTTGTTTATACTGAACAACTAATCCAAAAGAACATTTCGTGGTCCGTTATTTTAGGGCGAAACTGGATTTGTGGATTTGTGAAAACTATTGCAGTTTTATCTGGACGGTTTTTATTATCAGTTTTCGCGATAAGACCGCGCCATTCCGATACTTGTAATTTTTTGGCAGAATACATAGCATAGCATTTACTGACACATGTCTCTGTCCGCGTGACAAAAAAACAGCGACATTCCGAAAACCATTTACAGTAGAAACTACTTATGCGGTTATTATGATAATTTAAAGGCCATTTTGAATCACAAAATTGAATAACAGGAAACGTACAAAAATCATTAAAAACATCGCGATGCAAAATTATTCATAGATAGACTAGTGCTCGTATATAAGTAGTCACGCAAATTAATAAATGTCACTGAAAATGAATATATAGTTTTCACAGCCAGCTCTCATACACCGGCGGTGGGCCGTCTATCCTCCCGTCGGCCGGTTGCTTCATCTGCGCATTAACCCCTCCAAACGCCGTCTCCCCGGTCCCCTTCCCCAGCGGATCCCAGTAGTAAAAATGATACGGAGGAGGCGGTACCGGCGCCGGGGAATTACTCTCCAACCGGTCGACATCCAGCACCCGCTCCGGCGGCGCTACCACCGGATTCCCCCCGCTGTTCTCGAAGGATTTGCGCAGCAGATTAATCTGCATCAGCAGGTCGTGGTGCACCAGCATGGGGAAGACCTGGAAGACCACGATGGCCGCGCCCATCCCCACGTTGTAGTAGTCCGGGAGGAGGTTGCGCTGGCGGGTGTCCGCGTGGCTGCGCGCCGTGATGATGTCCACGGCGCAGACGGTGACCAGCATGATGAACATGAGCATCATCAGCGCCGGGATGGCGAAGGCCGTGATGAGGAAGGGGCGGACGGCGCGCAGGGCCGACATGAGGACGGGCAGGGGACTGTCGGGGCTGACGCTCTTCAGGTACAGGTAGGAGAAGAAGACCACTTGGAGGAGACCGGTGCCGCACAGGATGACGACGGCCACGAAGGATAGGGCGTGGTTGTAGTTGATCGTGGAGCCTGTAATTAAAACAAAACAAAGTACAATAGAAAAATGATGCAAAAAAACTACAACTAAAGGTTAGTGAATCGGTTGGATTTGCGCTTCCATCAGTAAGAAACATAGTTGTCCTCTTCTATGCTCAGTTCGTACCACCCGAAAACAAGTTTTCCGCAAGAGAAGATATATTTTGGAAAAATATTGACAAAAGTACGCTAAGACAATTTCCCGAAATTTCAAGAAAAGGTCACCGATACGAAACTGGTGTAGAAAAGTATAGTATTAACAATTATTTTCCAGCTGTTAGGAACGGGTGTGTTTTAAACAATTTGCGTGGGCAGAAAACGTAAAAAAATAATGATTAATAACTCAGCAATATTTTACATAAATAAATAACTAATATATTAAATGGATTACAATTACTGCTAGCACAATTTTTGAAAGATTATTTAGGAATTCAGCTTTTAATTGCTATTTTTCATTGTAAATTGATATATGTTATTTGGATTAATAATTAAATTAATACGCATTGTATTTCTAAAATCCAGGCGTACACTGACCAGAAGAGAGGATGAGCAGCAGGAACGCCAGGCCGGCAATGAAATTCAGCAGGCTGTAGCACAGCGGTAATCGATGGGCGTTGGAGTGCAGTTCCAGTGCCGCGGTGCGGATACATGTGGGAAATGTTCGACGGAACATTTCGCCAGCGTCGACAGACAGCGGAGAAGCCACGCTCGCTGATCACTAGCACAATCTTGTCCCACTCACGAACCCAACAACCTCTAATAGGAAATGCTCAATAATTTAGCCTTTCCAAAGTCACAAATCCAGTAACGTTGAAAGCAATACATCTGCAGTCGATAAAAATTTTCCAGACATCAGAATTTCCCGTCGTCTGGATTTGCAGACAGACGGTGTTATCAAAACAGCGTAACCACCTTATATTGCCGTAGTAACAGCAAAACCTATACAATCGAATTAACTTGTTATTTTTTTACTTTCAATCCATACTGTACGAATATCTGTCAACTCTGTACGGAAATCCATTTTAGTAAAATAATCGTTATGTGCAGATACGAAACCCGTCGCAGCCCGACACAGCCATGTGGTACTCCTTCAGCCTCGCTGTTTTGAGCGCTCCCGCTTTAATTACAGGATCCTTTTCCGCCGCGTTCAAACCCTGGGCGCACGTCTACCGGCAAGTGGCGCAGCAAGCGGCCGCACAGCAGCTGGACGGCCCGCATAACCGCTTGTTCGGGCACGATGTGCGGCCGCAGTATGCGCCGCGTTACACCCGCATGACGGCCAACGACGAGTACTACTCTTCCTTTGCGCCGCCCCCGCATAACTTCCCCGATCGCAAGAGCTACGAAGCTGCCTGGTGGGCGTTCTATGATAATTTATGCCGCTCCGGATTACTGGACAGCTGTCATGTCTACTGAAACTAACCGCTGGTATACCGTTTCGTGTGTGCAGCGTTTCCATAAAAAGCAGCATTTTTTGCAGCAACGGCGTTGTGACCTTTGCTTGTTCCAGTTCACGACTAGTCGTTCGCATAAAAACACGACTTAATAAAAACATGCATTAAATCTTTGTAAGTAACAAACAACTGGAGTACTTTTTACTGCTATAAAGTAGACAAAAGGTCACCCGAAGCTTATAGGTTAATACTTGGCAATATTGAAAACATTTAAATCTGGCTGTGTTTGTACTTTGTACTTCGCAGATCCACAAATACAGTAATCATTATATAAATGTGGGAACGGAAACTGCGGTTTATCGCATCATACGTCTGCCTGTCTTTATTTTCCTGGTCCCGATTGATATCTTCGACAGCAGCGTTTAGATCCGTATATGAAAAACTCGTTACGGCTAAATTATCCCGTGACGTGTATTCGGGAGGCAGGTCCCCCGATTCAACATGCACCACATTAACGACACCGGTAATATAATAAATCGGCGGCTCAGTCGATACCGTTTCCCTTCTAGCATCCTCGTTCGGCCGCTGTCTCTCGACGCTCTGCCAGTAACTCGGCGGTGGGGGCGGATCTAGCGTCGGCTGCGTATACGTCAGCACCTCGCACGCCTCCTGCGTCCCGCTGCCCCGTGGCCACCCCCGTCGACACATCTCATCCAGAAACTGCATCAACGGCCGCCGCTGGAACGTACTGGATAAATCCCCAGCCAAGCTCTGCAGCGCCCGCTCGGCGACGGCGGTCTCCTGGCCCGGCATGACCGCCACGCACAGCTCGTGCAGCAGCGTGATCTTCTTGATGGACACGTAGAGGATGCGCATGGGGATGACCTCCACGACGCCCAGGGTGACGCCCATCCCGATGCTGAACATCCCCGGGAGGTAGTAGTGCAGAGGCCCGCCGCCGGCGTACTCGCCCAGGGCCGGCACGTGGACGATGTCGATGAGGCCGATGATGGCGGCGCAGAGGAACAGGCAGGTGATTACCGGGCACACGGCGAAGGCGATGACGAGGTAGGGGCGGACGGTGAGGAGGGCGTCCAGGAGGTCGGTGAGGGAGTCGGTCGGGGGGATGTTTTTACAGTACAGCCAGGAGAAGATGAGGACCTGGGCGAAGGAGGTCACTGTTAGGGAGAGAATGGCGCCGTAGGTTAAGGGAAGGTTGCCTCCTGAAAAAACAGTGCAGCAGTAATTTATTTCCGGAACTAATGATTTATTAAATTTATAGTGTATTTTTACGGTGGTCTTTGCGGGAGCTCATAAAAGTCACCCTAGTGTTTTTTGGTTTACGAACTTTTTGTCGACCTTTTAAAATTTGTTGTTGGTTCTTCGTTTATACGGTTATTCTTTGTGCTGAATTTATTTCCTTTTAAATATTAATCAGAATGTCGTTTTTTTATATTTTTTATTTTAATTTTGAAATTAATCGAGTTTCTTATACAGTATAATTTCAAAAAACTTGAACACATAAAAATAGGTAAAAATTTCTTTGAAAATACTTGTTGAGAGAGTGCTTGTTTGAAAACGTTCTTTCTATAAAGCATAATGCGCGAGTTTTTTCCTTACCGCCAAAGATGCTCAACATGAGCATGCCAATACCGCAGACCAGATGAAGACCGGCGGAATGCAGGGGGAATTTCTGCGCCTCGTCGAACAGTTGCCAGACTTCCTTAATAAAGCCATTACCACAATGCGCGTCGTCAATGGGCATTCGGGCACCACTTGGACAGTAGCACGCACAACAGATGGAAACACAGCTGGGCTTGGAGTAAGAATTGGCAGGGAAAGCACATTATGTAATTACGTCTTCAACGACGCATCTTGATTAATTTTACAATTAGCAAGATGTGTGCTTCTTATAATCTTGTTATAGAAAGTAATATGTAAGGTATATGATAATAATTATTATTGTAATCATGTTTTCATCACGTGACGTGTTCGCCTCTGTTGCTTGGAGCTGTCAGTGTGCTGCAGTCAACGCAACGCAGCGAAGAATGATACAACACTAGTACAGTACGACACTGACCAGTGAGTCGTACTGCTGATCTATCTGCCCGAATGTACAAGTAAACAGTCCGTGTTTCGATTAACCTATGATTGTAACAGTAAAGTGTATCATAATATTACTAAACATACGTACGGGTTTATTACAGTAATGAATTATTATGACAGTCTGTAAGCGACCGCAAAGCAACACATCCTTGGAATTACTAATTTTTTAATAGTCATCGGCTAATATTCATCCGTGCTGGGCTTGTACTGAAGTACGCGGCACGGCTTCCTGAAATTCGCGGTGTTCCCTGCGTCGGCAACCAGGATGATTTTAAAATACATCTTCTCTCCTGAACGAGTCCGCAGTACGTACAGTTGTTTACTTGCTTCAGAAAACCCAGATCAGTAAGTACTTTCTACTATATATGCATTTCCTTAATATATACTTACTATATATGCATTTGCATACTTACTATATATGCATTTGCAACTATGTATACTTCAGAGGTGGAGGAAGTATCAGAGGTGGAGGCCTTACCTGCAAGGAAAGTCTCGACCGGAAGTTCAGGTATGTCATTTTCAGCCAAATGCCACATCGCTTCGGCCACTATACTGGCCTGATTGAAATCAATGAGAACATCGCGAACGGCCTCCATCCCAGTGGACGGATTTACCACAGTACCACAGGAAAAAGGACGAGTGTTACCATGGAATGCAGCCGGCGTGTGAACACAGGTTTTGCCTCGCATCGCAGCAACATCCATTCGAGCCGCAGCAACAGCGGCACAGACTGAGCAAAAGAAAGCCGACGCCAAAAGCATGCAAGCCAGCCTGTTATATCTTTGGGCGTAAAACGTTAGAACCATTCGGGCTGATAGTTTCTTGGTTGTCCTCTGATTTGGGCACTACAATGCGGTAAAAAACAGTCGAGACACGAGCAAGTGGTTCCGCTGTCAGCTGATCAGCATCCCAATTTAACATGGAAAGAGCATCCTTCCCGAAAAGGACTCTTGATTTCGCTAATTTAGATCGATTGCTAATAAGGCTGCATTTTTCCGTTATTTGTCCACGCAGTGCCACGTAAAAAGTGAAAGTAAAATAAATTTTTTTTAGTTCTAAGTACCAATTTTTCTTCGCTGTGTGAACCATTCGTTCTTGCTACGATTGTATTCGGCTAATAAGAATTAAAGGAGCAAATAACAACAGCATCATTCAAAACTATTTCTGTCCTACAAAGTCTCCAGGAGGACCGTAGGGTTGCCCTTATATTCCATTCGCTAAAAGACAGGTCACGCTGGCACTATAAACGGATTTTTAAGGGATTTTCCTCATGCGGGATCGTATCAACAAAGCCGCAGCCAGCTTTCCACAAAGCCGGCTTGGCCAGAATCAAGCTGCGCGGTACAAGGGTTGCGAATAAGTACTTTTAGACTCTCTGGACTGAACATCGTCCAAGAGCGATACGCTTGCTTGGTTGGGGGAGATCCTTGTAGAACGCGAAAAGAACGATCATGTTTTGTGTACAAGAAGGTGTCGAAGGCTTTTGTCAGCACTGAGCTAGCCGCTTCGCTGATGGGCCATACTTTTATCGCTTGCTCCACACTCTGTTCCGTCTCGAGCGACTCAGCTTGGAGAAGCTCGGTGTCATAATCACCCGACGCTACTTTCGTACGGAGATAGCACATCTGGTTGTAGACATCCAGCAGTAGCGGAATTCCTTCAGTCATCTCGGCCATGGTCCTGTTCGAACAGCAGTATGTCCAGTTTGTACTGGAAAATACCAGCTTCCGGCATTCCTCCTTCGTACCCAGCAGTATTTCTAAAGTTCTGATGGTTATATCGTATCAATCGTAAAATTACCAATTAGAATAACTATCTATCGAAGCGCAGCGATGGTCATATAGATTGTTCAAGATCATAAAATGACAAAAACGTAATGATAAAAGCGGCATTTATTAGAAATTATTACTGCAGTGCTAATTGCTAATTGCTTTCTTCACGCAATTAAATAAGCGAAAATGTTCTGCGCCCAAAAAATTCTGGGCCACAGACTCCACACTGTTACGCCCTTCCAAAAACTGCAGTAAAATTTGTTAGGTCAGCTGTTCCTCTCTATTAGTGGAAAATTAATATTGCCAGTGAATTTGCCACCACATCTGATTGTTGAGGATTCGATATCAGATTTTTAGTTAATTATTTGCCCGTGCGTCCAAAGTGATTTTCTGACTCAGCAAATTTGAATTTGGGTTCGGAAAACTTTATGAACGCACCGAAAGCACCTTTCCTGGACAAACGACATTAAAAAAATACTCAGATAAACGTTGACCAGTAGCTGCGCTCCGGTTAATCAACGCAGCCCAGCGTTCGTTATCCATATCACTGACCTAGTGTTTTTCGGGTGCCGTCATTCATAATCATAGTACAGTATATCTGCATGTTGCTGACAGGGGGATAATATTCCAGTTCGTACCACAGGCAAATGCTCGAACGCCGGTAGGAGAGGTAGTAGTCGGGAGATCGATCGAGGAGGCAAAGAACCGGGAGAATCGTGCCGCTGTGACTATGGGAGAATTGGTCGAGCAGTACAGCACGTGTTGTGGGCGCGGTGTAGCGAAAAAGTGTATTAGCCAAGTACAACGCCTGATTGTTGTCTTGGATGTATACCAATGGAGCACCGGCAACAGCGTGGCAACACAGTGATGGTGACGACAGAACGACATCCCATCTCGAGCATGTTCTGTAGCAATTAGTTATACAAATAGTAAACATTTCGAATTTTGGAGATGAATAGCCCTATGGAAAATGCTTTGCCGGGCACATCTGAATGGCAAACGTGACCGGCAAACCATTTAAAGAACAGTTAGCAAGCTAAGTGCAGTTAAATTCGTGGCAAATTCCCTGTACTGCTTTGTTAAACGTCGGCTCGGCCCACTTTCTTTGTTGCGCATGAGAACGTTTAATGTTGCCGCCGGCCGTGCACACGGCCCGATTTTTCTGTTGCTCGCCTTCTGATCAGTCGTGCTGACGATCTGATACGTTCAGTTTGCCGATTTATTCCTCTACCGTTTTCGTTTAAGTCTACAGTTAGATAAGTCTACAATTCAGATTTTCATTTCCTTTGTGAAACCCACTAACGATGCCTCCATCCACGAGAAGCAAGAAGACAGCCAAGAAACCGCGTCGTGCTGTCGGAAAACCTCGTGGAACAGCGCCCGCGAAGCGCTTGAAGAGCGTCATCGTTCGCCCTGAGCCTGCCGAAGTTCAGTTGTTGGAGCCCACTCTCCAGTCCATTTTTCAGCAGCAGCAAAACACCAGCAACAGATGGACTCGTTGATTGCCATTGTAAAAACCAGCCACCGCAGGCCGCCCGGCCGCTTTCGCCGTCATCTAATTTGCGGATCCAGCTTGGCGACGATTTCGGAAGAATCGTGCACCAGGTGGACTCCACAAGCAAGGCAGACAATGGAAAAAAGGCGAAGCGTCGGAAGCGAGGTAAGGAAAGTGTTACCTCATCCTCCGAACAGGGTAGCGACGATGAGAGCTTGCCAGAAGACAGTGCAGTACTGCAGCGCCATGGCAACCGCCCCGATATGTTTGGCCATTCGGGACAACCTTCTACGCAGCCATTTGTCTCGGACCAGACAAATCACCAGCTCCCGGCCATACCGGATAAAAAGCTGCGGAAGAAACTGCTGGACCTCACTGAATACGTGGATTTTGACTTGCTGCTGCGACGCAACAGAGTGGAAAAGCCCAAGAAATTGCAGTCAAATCTAAGCTTTGTGGATGGGAAGATGACCATTACCCCGGAAGACGGTAAAATCAGCATTGATTCTTTTTCATCGTGGGCAGGTGCATTTTCTGTGTTCTCGGAATATCGCATCACTGTCGCCCCGCAGTTAAGCGCTAAATTTTTCAAGTATTTGGCTATTATTGCGTCGTATGCCGAGCGTGGGGTCCCGACCGCAAACTGGCTGGAGTACGACAGGCAGTTCCGTGCATTCATGACCAGCCACCCGCGGGAGTATGAACTATGGGCGCATCAGCATGAGGACACATACATCGACTGCATCCAGAATCCGCTCCGCAACACCACGGATGCTCCTCCACGTCACGAAAAAGAACGCACAGATGCTGGTAGTCGTCAAGATAAAAACCGGAAAGCGGACGACAAGTGTCGCAACTGTGGTATGCCTGGGCATTTTATTAAGAGCTGCCCGCTACCGCGTAAAGGACAGCCGGGGTACGGGCAGCCCTTTCGGACCGCTTCCGCCGCGGACGGAGAAATCTGCCGTAACTTCAATTTCGGCGGCTGCACCACTCCTTGCAAGGCCGGCCGGCAACACTCCTGTTCGCGATGCGGGGAGTCGAACCACCGCGCAGTTAACTGCACCAAAGTTGGTACCTGAGCTGACAGTGCCGGCGAGAGCGACTACACCACTGCGCACCACCGCTTTCGCCGAACTGCTCACTGAGTATCCTGATGCGTCAGTAGTGTCGTTTATACTGGACACGCTGGCACACGGTGCGCATATTTTCTATGATGGACCGCAGAAAGAACGGTACACTCCCAATGCGGCAACCGCTAAGACCCACAACGCCGCCGTTACTGAATACATCACGAAAGAAGTGGAGAAAGGTCACAGCGTCGGACCGTTCTTATCACCACCTTTACCCCACTTTGTTACGAATTCTCTCGGTGCGCGGCTGAAGAAGGACGGCACTGTAAGAGTCATCATGGATTTATCGCAGCCCACCGGGGACAGCGTGAACGATGCCATTGACGTCAATAAGCTTCCGTTGGAATACTGCTCCGTCGACGATGCTGTTGCCATCTTGAGCAGCTTGGGCCGGGGCGCGTTGATGGCGAAAATGGACGTCAAGTCAGCATTCCGCCTGATTCCGGTGCGGCGCGATCTTTGGAATCTGCTCGGGTATCGCTGGAACGGACAGTACTACTTCGACGTGGTACTTCCGTTTGGGCTACGATCTTCTCCTTACATCTTTGAGCAATTCGCAAAGATTATTGACTGGGCAGTGCGCAGAAGAAGCGGTCTAAGCTCAATGCTTCACTACGTGGATGATTATTTTTTTGCCGGAAAGCCCGGCAGTGTCGAGTGCAGCACGTGCATGAGCACCATGTCGCAAATATGCAGTGAGCTGGGGGTCCCTTTGGCGCACGACAAGACCGAAGGACCCGCTACTCAGCTGATATTCTTGGGCATCCTGATCGACTCTGTGAGACAAACCCTTAGTCTCCCAACCGGAAAGCAAAATGAGATACAAGCGGCTCTTGAAGAATGGTCATCTCAGCGTTTCTGCACCCGGCAACAGCTTCAAAGTCTGCTCGGAGTCCTGCAGTTTGCATCGAAGTGCGTACCAGCAAGTCGTCTTTTTACTCGCCGGATGATCATGCTGTTATCTACTCACCGGAACACCAAAATGATCCCCTTAAACTCCGATTTTCACAAGGATCTGGGCTGGTGGCGTGAGTTTCTGCCGACATGGAACGGCACCGCATCCTTTTTACAGCCGGACTGGACGCGGTCAGATGTGCTGCACCTGTACACGGACGCCTCAGCAACACATGGCCTCGGCGCTTATTGTCAGGGGGCGTGGTTTCAGCTCCACTGGCCACTGTGGATAACTGAACTGCAGCCGTGCATTGAGTATCTTGAGATGGTACCGATACTGCTGAGCGTGATCGTCTGGGGAAAGAAGCTGGCCGGCTTGAAAGTTGTCTTCCATTGCGACAATGCCGGCGCCACGCACGCTTGGGAAAACCTCAGATCAACTAACCGCGGGGTGCTGGATATCATGCGTCGCTTAGTTAAAGCCGCAGCAGTCGCGAACATGACGTTAACGCTTAAGCATATTGCCGGAATTAATAATGAAATAGCTGATGCGCTCTCTCGTTTCCAGCAAAGCCGCTTCCGACGACTAGCGCCACAGGCAGAGCTACATCCGGTGGACTGTCCCGACATCTTTCCGGATCTCAGGGCAGCCCTCTGCCATCCCCAGAGCTGAATGAGTTGCTACAGGCTCATATTGCTGAATCTACCCGAGCCACGTACAATGCTGCATTCAACAAGTTCCAGCAATATTGCGCGGTTAGATCGGAGGCATCCCTGCCCGCTAAGCCGGCAACTGTTGCGGAATTTGTAGCGAAATTATACGCAGATAGTAAATGTTATCGGACAGCCACGGTTTACCTTGCCGGCATCCGGAATCGCCACCGTGAATTTAATGAAGCAAGCCCCACGGACAACGACACCGTTCTTAGGGCTCTGGAAGGCTATCGCCGTCTGGCAGCGCCACAAAAGACCGGCGGCTCCCGGTGACACTGGCGCACATGCGATATCTGAAGGACGCTTTGAGAGTGGCCCGCATATCAGAGTACGAACAGTCACTGTACTGGACGACGTTCACTTTCCTGTTCTTCGGCTTCTTCCGCATTGGAGAAATAACAGCAGCCGCTACTAACCGTTTTGACCCACGGCGGACTTTGTTATGGGGGGACATAGTGGATGTTGGCCACCGCCTAACGGTGCAGCTGAAGCTCACAAAGACGGACCAGACGGGGCAGGGTAGTTCTGTCGCGCTGACGGCGACTGGACGTTCAGTCTGCCCCGTGCAGGCTTACCGGAATTACCGTGCTCGCGTGCCCGAGCCTGCGAACGAGCGGCCGCTGTTGCAGCGCGAAGACGGCAAGTTCGTGACAAGGGCAGACGTGGAGAAGTGCCTCTTTCGCCTTCTCACGGATCACCCGGAGAGACCGGATCAGCACGCACAGTTTCCGCATTGGTGCGGCAACTACGGCCGCGGCCAATAACGTGCCTGACCATGCCATCCAACTGGCCGGACGCTGGCGGAGCAACTGTTACACCCGCTACATTCGCCACGCTGGGCCACCCGTGCCACTGAATCCTTACCGGACCGGATAGATTGTTTGGGGGCAGTCGGGCGGAAGTGGGGATATCGGAGACTCGAACCGGTGAGGTCATCACCTGCACCTTCGATCTCGCGTATGCCGCCGCGCCGTCGACCCGTTCTTCCCGCAAACGCCCAACTCCGCTGCCGCTCGAGTGTACGGAATTTCCACAAGAATTTAAAGAACAGTTAGCAAGCTAAGTGCAGTTAAATTCGTGGCAAATTCCCTGTACTGCTTTGTTAAACGTCGGCTCGGCCCACTTTCTTTGTTGCGCATGAGAACGTTTAATGTTGCCGCCGGCCGTGCACACGGCCCGATTTTTCTGTTGCTCGCCTTCTGATCAGTCGTGCTGACGATCTGATACGTTCAGTTTGCCGATTTATTCCTCTACCGTTTTCGTTTACCACCCGCCCACCCTACATGGTGGACTTTGTTGTTATTGCTTTCGCAACTGTTATGTTACTCAATGCAATAAACGGGGGCAGTCGGGCGGAAGTGGGGATATCGGAGACTCGAACCGGTGAGGTCATCACCTGCACCTTCGATCTCGCGTATGCCGCCGCGCCGTCGACCCGTTCTTCCCGCAAACGCCCAACTCCGCTGCCGCTCGAGTGTACGGAATTTCCACAAGAATTTAACGGATGAACCGTCCGCAGTTAATTTTGCCCACCCATAGCGTTTCGAATTTTGCAGTATCGTGAAACGCTCGTAATCAGGATACTTTTTTCTGAGTGAAAATTTGCATGGAAATGGTTTTGTCGGAGTGTAAATTCGCATGCGAAAAAAAACAAATTTATGCTCCCGTAAAACCGCCTGGATGCCGATATGCGGTCCGACAAACCGCTCCCGATAAAAAGTCGGCTTTGACTTCACTGTTAGAAAATTGCGGTTATATCTTACCGCCGTAACGTTCTCTGGGTAACAAGATCCAGGTTTGCCATAATCTGAAAAAGGACGTCATCCGGGTATTCATTGAATATGGCATCGTCTTTGTCGTATTGCTGAAGTCCTGTAGAAAGACATAACAAAAATAGCTGATTGGTTGGGTTCAAAATTAATTCATTTTATAGTATCCGTATATCATACTTGCAGAAATGTAATACAGAAAACTTAATACCTAATTAAAAAAAACTTGCAGTTACTGTACTTACAAAACCCGCAGTAGTGAAACAACCGCACGTTATCAGAACTTGCATACCTAACGTTTTCTGAGACTGTAGCCATCGAGGGAAGAAATCCATTCTGCGCCACGTTTTCATGAACCACGAAGTTTCAGCAATGTCTAGAAAAGCACGCATATTTTATCGGTACTTCTATCTCATGCCGATGTATGATGTTTCTGAAGGGCTTCCAACACAAACTCTCTGCTGTCAAAGTTTGCCTACTGAAAGCAGAAAACCAGACAAACAATGTCGGCTAGACAATCCGTTTAGGTAATTTTTGCGTAATTCCCATTAATTTTGTCCAAAATGGTTCTTGAGCGCGGTTTAACTACCGTAGGTGGCTCAGCGGCCCTTCAAGAACTACTCGTACATCGCTTAATTTTTCACAATAATACTGCCATCCCCCTTCCAATGAAAATGAACGCTTACAACCCTTCGGGCAAAAATGTACACAGAAAAGGCTCACCGACATCAGGCCGATTAACACTTCATCGACCGACACAATGTCGACTGCACGACGTTGACCGTCTTAGTCTTCGCGCGACGAAGACTAAGAATACATGAGGGAAACTAAGTAACCGACGATACTCGTTTAAGAAATCTTAAAAACTTAAGAAAACATAAGAAAATCTAAGTAGAATAAGGAAACTAAGATGACCTAACAAACGCTACCTCGTCTTTGTGACGGTTCGATGTCGTGCCTGTTCGACGTAGAATCGGTCGACAAATTTCCGTCAACGAAATCGAGTCAACAGTTTAACTGTCCGATTGCCCATTGAAATCTGGGTGCCTTTACGTTTGTTTTAAATTTCACTGCTAGCGCAGCATACCATGAAAAGTACCTGATTGGGCGAAGAGAACTCTTCTGTAGCGTGTCATATCGCTTCTGAAACAGGTGTTCAGGAATAATGTGAATGTATGAAAAACCAGACGATGGAATTTTCTAGGTGCACTTCTGACATGTTGGCGACACAACACCGTGATGCCATCAGCGTTAGAAGCTAGTAGTAAGGTACCGGTGTAGCGCAGCCAGCACAACTTCAATCCGACGTCCAGTTGATTTAGCCAATATGATAACGGTGTCACCGGAAACGGACACTTTTTTTTACTGCACGCTGCATGACGCAGTGTCAGTTTGAAAAATGTATCCTTGGTCGCCGACGTCCAGTGGCGCTGTTGGCGAATCCGTATTTGACAAGCGTAATCTGGATAATAATCCATCTTCACCGCCACCAGTTGGGCAGCGATGGCCGACGGGACGCGTGCTAGTGCACAAACCTCCTCGTTAGGATTCCGACATTTATCACCATACTGCGGTACAAATACCAGAAATCTGGCACTGGTCCAGGTTAGAGGCTGATTTCTGTAAAACCAGTGCTATTCAGAGCAGAATGGAACTTTTTGACACGCTACGATGTGGAATAAAACAGAATGGAAACAGAAATAGAGGAAAGAGTGCAAATACTTGAAAATACAGTGGAAAGGGTGGTATAATAAAGTGGAGATAGTGGCATACAGTAATTAAAATGTAACAAACAGTGTGTAAATGGAGGACATCTAATGCGCATAAATCGCCAGCACTGTGGTTTACAGAGAAGCGCTTGTTGTCGCGATAAGCGTCAAACATGTAGGCTGTCGCGTACAGTACAGTATACAGTATGTATGTATATATCTATATGTATGCATATGTATGTGTATGTATGTGTATGTATGTGTGTGTGTATACAGTATGTATTCGACGTACTTAATATCTGTACAGTAGCAGCATTTCCCTTAATGACAGCCAAACTAAAACGTTGCTTGATAAAAGCAGTAGAACGCGCTTCTCCAGTTAATTCCCGAGTTGTACGGCCCCTAAAATACACCATTTCACTTCAAGCTGGGCCGAAAACACCAAACGTTTCAACAACTAACCGATAGAAAAGGTGTTTACTTTCCAGTGAAGAGTGTTTCCGTCGCTTTGCATTTTCTGCCAGATGACCCACACTTCCTGCCTGAATAATTACAACGGCCATGGAGTCCTCTGACCATTTATTAACACATTAACCATTTGCTAAAATAGAAGCGATATAAAATAGTTACGAACAATTCAATTATATAGCTTAGCAGTAAAGTAAGTACTATGTACATTGCAGGATACCTAAGGCTACAGACGGCATAAATCGAGAAAAGGGGGCATCAAGCACAGTAATCGCTTATAATTGTAATAAACACAGCAAATACCACAGCTAACTACTATCTGTTTTTCCCTAATTTTCAAGGCGTCTTACCGTGTGTCGGCTTGCAGCATGTTTGAAAATGAAACGCACTTTTTTGCAGAAAACAATACTCCAACGCGTTTCGACACTTGTTCGACAGCCTAGTGTTTTGCTTTGCGATATCAAATCGATCGAACTTCCGGTTGCTTATCGGGCAAAATTGTGATACAGGGCAGGACAGGTCTGCATGCTTGCGCTAGCGCGTGCTTGATGCAGTCGTCGCCTGTCTAGCCAGACGAAGATACTTACTGTAAACTGTACTGTGCGCTACATTGCCTTTAAACCCACGGGCGCATGGCGATTTTGGGTGTTTTTTTAATATTTAATTTTTAACCGTAAAGGAGTGTGCCCGCGCTTGCCCTTTTTGCTGTTTTTGCCCAATAAAACCAAATTCTGGTGTCTTATTAAATATATGACAATAATTGACTGCTGAACGCTGATCACTAATAGATTGTTATCCAACGCTACAAGTGCCAGAAACTGAAAAAGTGGTCAAAGCTTCTAAAAGGTAGACGATGTTGCGTTTGCTAGTAAGTACTTAAAACAAATTTCTTGCTTTTTCTTTTGTTTGCGCTTTGAGCTAAACGATATTTTTATCCTTCCCCATTAGCGCTGCAATTGCTGCCACTACCAATAGTCCAATACTGTTACTACCATTACCAGAACAGTGCCATTCTGGCTACCACTAATAGTACCAGTATCATTGCGTAGTACCACTACCAGTACCACTACTAGTAACAGTAACATTTATTAGTACTACCCGAAATATCGAGCTATTTTTAGGTTTCATTGTAAAAATTTCACAAACAAAGGAAAACTCAAAATACGTCTAAGATTTATTGAAGTATAATACGTACACAATGAAGATTTATTGTTTAAGATTTATTGTCCATTGAGTTGAATCTCAACAGTCGCACGTTTCGCGTACTAATTTTTTAGCTGACCCATTGAAACCATTATTTTGGTTTTTAACCGAAATCAAAACGATACAAATAGTGCTTTGGGGTGTGCCACTGTCTCAGTGGATCTATTATAAAATCGGGACCATGCACATGTACCGGGACATTTCCTAAACGTCCAAAAAGTAGCTGCGAGATGAGATGAATCAAAGAGTTTCATCATCAGGTTGATACAGATATAGCCAGACTTTGGTATTTGCCATCAACAACTTCTGAATAAATTGGCAGGGCCAATTTCGAATCACGCACTGACTAAAACTTAATTTAAATTCCAGTGCTGAATTCCAGTGATGAAATTTAATTCCAGTGCTATTATAATGTTTTCTGGCTAGCTACATTTTATTACACTCAGTACCACTGGAACTACATTTCATCACCGAGCTTTATTGTGTTGAATATTAACACTGTATTTATAGTTATGTGTACCAGAAAAATGGCTTACATTGCCGTCCTGATTAGAACTTCCACCTCCACGTTTTCCCGGTGTGTCCAGCGGCAGTAGCGTTCCCCGGCATGCTTCTTTATCGGTAGCACGCGGATGTCCGCGAAATCTACACACTGAACCGACTGTTCAGTGTGATGAAAGTCGATCAGAAGCCCCTGGTCCATAACATCCGTCACGTATCCTCGATGTATACCATCACTGGTAACAACATCCACCACGAATTTATCGTAATATACCGAGAAATACAGCCAATCCTTGAGAATCTTCGGTAGATTTGCCATTAAAGGGAAGGCGTGTATCGCTTACAAGTAATATCCACGCATCCAAGACAGCACCCTCATCAAAATCCCTCGACAAGCGGAACAACACGTTTAATTGGCTTTAGTGCTGATTTCTGTACTGGACCAACACAGTTGGGATCTGCAGCAGTTGAACAGAGAAGCGTTAATAAAGTCAGTACGATGATAATAAATTCACACGGTTATAGCGAGAGTACGCACTACGGCAATAAGGACAGTACCATATACGAGTACACAGAACTCCGGGGAAGCTGCGAAAAAATCGATAATCCAGCATGGATGGAGGCCTGTGATGGGATGAATAAGTATTGCACGAGTACAAAAAATATACAAGACGGTAGGGTACACTATACAAAGTGTAATTATGTATATCCCCGTATCCAGCCGCTATCGATTTGTACAATCCTATGATTCATATCTTCCAGTCTACAGAGTATGCAGTATGCACATTCGTCCTGTCATGTGCGGCGTTCGTGTAACTCGGTGTGAGCATATCGGGTTAGGATAATTTTAAATGTGCATTTAATTTTGATAGTCCAGTTTAAGCGCATATGCTTTGGATTTACTGATACCGGAAAAAGCTGATTTTTAATTAAATAGGGTGTAACACTAACTAATAATATATTTGGGCATCCTCAACCAACGCGGGGAACGGGAAAGATTTTTATCATATAATTATTGTCATCGCGCAATTTGAGTTTGATTCTGACAAAAAGCTTTTTTTATTTGCTTGTGACGCATGACAAAAATTCTGCGCAGAACGTTTTTAATTTAAGTAGCAAGTACTTGTACAGATAACCGTAAACATGAATCTGAGAAATGTACTGTATCTGTACGTCGGACTACTACGTTCGTTATATTGCGACCGCAACGTAGCAAAAATAAAGCGAAACGTGACACAAGCAAATAAAGTGCACAAACAAAAAGAAGTTGATGAGGCGCGACCGCACACTGGCCGGTCGATTTAACTTCTTTTTGTCGTCCATTGCATGTACATCATTACAAGCATAATCCCCTTTTGAGTTCGTAATATTTCCCCTAAGAGTTTTAGAATTAGGACAATATTTTATTAAAATTATTTATTTAATAAAAGTGAACAAACAGGCAAAAACGAGGGGTCATGGGCAAAAACAAATATATAAATAGCGTTTTTATATGGCTAAGGCTATTTGGCCGCATCTGTTCACAGTGCGGCAAAATAGCCTTTTGCTATTTTGCCGCACACTGCGTTAAAATAGCTTTCAGCTATTTTGCCGCAGTATGGTAGGCAAAATAGCCATTTGCTATTTCGCCGCACACGGCGTTTAAACAGCCTTTTGCTATTTTGCCGCACTGTGGTCGTAGCTAATTTGCCACAGTAAAGGGTACGGCCATCTAGACTCTAGAGCTACATTTTGTGTTGGATTTTGAGCTAACGCCTGAACCCTTCAGCCGGCGGTACGCGAAGGAGTGCGAGTATCATGAAAAAATTCAGTTAAAAAAGGGAGTTTGGGAACCTGTGCTGACCATATGTCTGTCGCAGTGACTATGTCGCTTGCCAACGCCAATGCACATGGACAGTCCACAGCATAAAAGTGTTTAATTCTGTGATAACTTGCGAAGACTAATTACGTAAAAGCAAAACTTCGTTAAATAGCACAAAAAATATTTAAAATGAAAGTGTAGAAGTGGTCAAGAAAATAACCGAAGTCAGCAAAAAATTAAAAACTTCCAAATACCGTTTTCATTTGTTGTGACCACGACTACAGATAGAATACTGAAAATAAACGATACCAGCGATGTTTTTTCCCAAAACTTTCAATATGCTCTCATATGAGACTGCAGGAAGCAATATTTTTTGGTTTAAGATTACATTACTAGCGCATTGTCCGCGCTTACATTTTTCCTGGGTGTGACCGCAGGTGCCATCGTACAAAAAGGGGTGCCGATGGTCCAACTGCAGTGGTCATTAGTGCCAAATCAAGTATTAGAGGTCACTAACACTTTTTGGAACGCTTAAGCGGCCGAAAGTAACTAATAAGGCTGTCGTTAAGGTCAACCTCATTGATGTGCACGCTCCAGTGTGCAGTTACGTGCTGTACAGGTAATCAGCAACCGCCCGAGACTGATCAAAACTCAAAATACACATTCTTCAGAGCTGCGCAGCTCTCTTCCTTAGCGTGCCCAAGCGATGCATCGATATGTACAAACGCGGCAAAGCGCTGTTTCACAGTGTTATTGCAATGGCGGTAGAATTGCAATCCGGACGGTTTCCCTGAACGTTATGTTTTTCTGGAAGCAGACAAATTTTGAGACGATTCTGTTTTCCGCCGCACCGCCCAGGTTGTTCATTAGCAGTAGGACAGCAGACGAACAAAGGCTCACGATAGTGGGGAAACAAGGCTTTATTGTGGATTGCAATAATGCACCAGAAACTAAAACACGAAGCACGTGGAAAGCTCGGCGTGATCGTAATCATGAAAGTACAATTAATGATAATGCTAGTGAATGCTAACGAACGGCATATCGAGCCGAACAGAGGAAAAAGACTGATGCGGCACTGGGCAGATCCCACACGAGCGGGACGAACGCTATCGTCTGAGACGAAAGGCCGTAGGAGTGTCTATGCCGAGTCAAGGCCAGTGGTAAGGCGCTTGTAACCGACAAAAACGTCTGGACAACCAAGGCGCCGGCAAAAGTTGTGGTCGATAGATTGACTAAACCGTCCGGCGGCCGAAAAAGCGTCCGCCGTAAATTTTGCCCACCCAAATATTTTTGCGGTCTCGATGCGACCAGAAGCTCCTGATAGCTTTTGCAGCCCGGCCACTTTGGTCGGAGCACTAATCCAGCTCGAACACTTTAATCGGAGCACGATTTAGACCTGGACCCTTTGGTCGGAGCACCATTTTAGCCCGGACACTAGGGTCGGAGCGATATTCCAGCTCTGACACTTTGGTCAGAGTACTATAACAGCCCGGACACTTTGGTCGGAGTACTATTCCAGGCCGGAAACTTTGGCCGGAGCACGATTTAGACCCGGACCCTTAAGCCGGAGCACTAAGCCAGCCCGGACACTTCAGTCAACACGCCCGGACAGCTTGATCATGGTACTATCATGGTACTATTAGATTTAGAAAACTGGCGAACAGACACCTTCTGTTGCCGTACGATTTCTTCAGTTTCTTAGCACAATCTCTTCCACAGCTGATTTTAGCATTTTTTTATTCAGTATTGCATTCTACTGCGATAATTGATTTAATTATGGTGGGGCTCCGCATACCATCTTTTACCACCTTTGGCACCGTGTACCACCTTCATACCGCGTTTGGCTCCCAATACCACCTTTAATACACCACGTTTGTCTTCGCATACCATCTTTTATTTTTTAAAAAATTATTAAAGATAAACCAAAGATATGACATTCGCTTTATCAAGTTATTTTGTTCCTAAAATCGGAACGTTAAAAATGCAATCACAAGTTTGAACTGCCGATAAAATTTTTGAACGTTTAAGGTGACTCAAGATGTCTGAAAGACGGAATAGTAATGCTGTCGACTGCAGGCCATCAACGGCGGCCTTCACATACGATCTCTTCCACAAAAGAAGCCCGACAAAAACATGGTACACTGGACAAGGTATGTGACAATGGATAGCGGAGGTTTACCAATAAAAAGACGCGCCGCACGCAAGGCTTAAAGATTTGAAAATCCAAGATTTGATTTTATAGCGCATCGATATCGACGATGCTGCGCAAGCAAACTATTCGGCTGCCTCAGATGCCATCGAACCAAAGAGTCTGGGCTGGAAAAGTACTCAGACCAAAGTGTTCGGGCTAAAAAGTGAACAAAACGAAGTATTATTCTGTCTCTCTAGTAAAATAAAACATCGCAAATCCTGGCGAGCTGGTTAATAAAAGAAATCTGCTAAAGATCAAAATAAGGACATAATTTCGAGAATAAAAAAGAAAACTCAAAGTCTAGGTGGTCCGGGACCTTTTAACGAATAGAGGGCGTCCGCTTAGGGGGATCTAGTCCACTTAATATCTGGCCATCCGTGTCCGAGGCTTCGGTTCTCGGGATACCTGATGGCACCGGTTCAGTTCAGCGGGGGTCAGGTAAGAAATTGGCGCGACACTTACTTCCGACCAAGTTACGTCGGGTAAGGTATGAATCTCCGTAGCCGGATGAGAAAATGGGCGTGAAACTCACTTCCGACCGGGTATTTTCCAGCTAAACTTCACCGGAACCTTTGTAGCCAGGTAATACAAGCTTGTGCTTACGTCCAGCGGAGGTTAATCAGCTGACGTGAGCAGAGAGGCCCTGTCGCATCCGCGAATGCCGTGAGGCATCCTTTCTGGGTAAGGAATTGGACCTATAGAGTTATTTGGTCGATGGATCTTCCGGTAAAGTCTGGTAATCCGAGGTTTTGTCTGGGCATAAACCGTAATTTTGCGTCCTGTCGCCTATTGGGAAACGAGGACAGGCTAGTGTTGAGGGGTTTTATGGTCGCACGTCATTTAAACCGCACAGTGCAACGTAAACCACGTTTTTGTTGGTTCCTGCTTCTGAGCAGGGATTCCGACTCCTATGTCCAATCGGCTCCGATGTTCCAAGGGACTTCGTCCGACAAAACCCCTTCGGTTTTGTGTCCAACCGCCTAATTGGGAAACATAGACCGGCTCATGCTGGGCTTCAAGGGTCGAATCCGAGGGTATCTTTGGTCATCGATTTAAAATCTACAAGCAGTCTCGGTTGTTGAGGTAAAGTCCGGGGGTTACCCTCGGCTGCACTGGTGGATCGTGGCTAGGCTTCAGTTTGGCTAACTGCTGGGTCGGATTATGGGCATTTCGTTCGGGCAAAACCTTGAATTTCGTCTCCTGTCGCCTATTGAGCAACAAAGAGATGGTTATTGTCGGCTTGGAGGCTTCGATCCGGGCTACCCTCCTTTTCCCAGATAGCCTCGGCAGCCGATGTAACCTCGGTCAGGCGATCGGCTCAGCTCGACCCTCGGTGTTTCGTCCGGGCATCGAAAAAAAACGAAGAACTATCTCTCAATGGACGAATTCGACCAAGAGGAACTTGCCTGGCCCACATGGGTGAAATAGTAAAAGTTACCCTGGCCGACCATCGACGGATGGAATGACCGACCACTTGTCGGATACCATTATGACCGACCATTTGTCGGATATCATTACGACCGACCACAGTTCGGCTAACAACGGATTGCATCGGATGGAAATACTACTCCTGGCCATAGAAGTGTACTCTGTAAGGTAGTAGTCAACCGACCCATTCCATCGTAAAAACTCAAAATTTCCGACCGGACCTTCGAACCAGTTGATGTAACAAACAATTAGCAGATGTGTGTTATGGGCCGACAAACCAGCGCATCCGACCGATCCAAGAAACCGAAACGAAGAGAATTTTGGCTCTGCTTACTATCAGACGGCCACAATGTTTATTAACTAATGTTGGCACGATACCCGAAAGTTTCGGCAAGAGCGCAGGCAAGTGGCTGTATCAGTTTTCGGGGCTACCCAAGACACTCACTAATCGCAGTGAAAGAAACCAGTATTTGTAAAGAGTTGGAACGGCTGCATGCCGAAAAGAACTTCGTCGGTATTACTACAGTATTTCGTGCATACACAGAATGGAAGCTGTATCAGCAATAAAGTGCTTCATATCTGTGCGTATCCACAGAAACCTATTGCACAGTTTTTAAAAACAAACATACTACAAAGTACTTGTAGCACTGTCTAACACATGCTGTACTATGTGCGAATTCGAGCCTCCCACCAAACAGAAAAATTCGCTAAAGTAACTAAATTAAAATAACGGGATGGAGGGAGCAAATACTGCATATTAGCGACTATTCCTATAATTTGAGGACAAAACAGTGTATAGTTCCGGTGACGTTGACAGCTAAATGTCAGAAAGCGGCTCGGTACACGCAGTGCTCTTGGGTACGTGATGGCCCAGGCATCCACTGACGGAAACGTGGTTCTTTGGGCGTCAGTTGCTGTAGGCCAGCAGAAAATATCGGCTGATGCGCGACAGTTTCTCCACCTGTAAACCCTTCGGTCCGTCCACGCACCACTTCTTGCCGCGATAATGCGCCGAAGAACGCGGATCTTCTGACTGCGTCGCACATAGCATCTATAAAAGCAATCAAAGCTTAAAGTATTTTGCAGCTACACAGGTTCTCAAAATGGATCGGTGAACTGGCAAATCTTACCTTGCGCATATAGTTTTCTATCTGTACTGTACTTTGGTCTTTTCAACCGAACGGCATGACAGCTGCTGTAGCTGATCGTTCACTTCCCGAATCCTTGCGTCAGTCAGTACCGGCAGCGCCGCGTCCAACGCGTCCCACAAAGCGCAGTGAAACCCATCGTTATTTGGCGGCCGCGCTGAACGAATTCTCGCCGAAAGAAGGTCAGGGTCGTCCAGGTGCACACAGCAGTTGGTAAGGCGGATCGTACCACAGGGCAGACTACGGCAAACTGCCATAAATCGCGATAACAAATCAGGATCGCGTTTCTTATTCCACCCGTGGAAAGCTGAGTCCATGGGATGCAGGGCACAGCCGGCGACGACATCTTCATGCAAGCAGCGATTAATCTTCAAAGAAAACCCCAGTGGATTAGCGAACTGCTGACTTCCCAGTCGGATTCCAGGCTGCTGGTTCGCCACGTAGCGGATCATTTCGCACAGCGCCATGATGTCTTCCATGCACATGGAGTTGCGTCGACCGTTAATCACAATGTGCCGAGTGCCAGGACGCAAGCAACTGTACAGCGTCGCAAAGCACAAGAATTCGCTGTATCGGTACGCATCCTTGGAAGGCAGGCAGTCTTCGACCACAACACGACCGCGCAGCGCCGGTATCTCCATCAAAGCGTTCCATGCTGGGCATACCGCACGCAGTCTCGACTGTGTCGCCGTGTCCAAATACGAAAAACACTTCCAGCCACAATTCCACCGGCAGCGCCAGCTCCTCACATGGTGTAGCGGCAACGCTAGGCCATATATCTTCGAGACTCCTGAGCAGACAACCCACGAAAAAATTCTTTTTCAACCTGGACATCGCACAATTTGTATAACAAAGCCGATTAAACCACACAAAAAACTCATGCTTACCGGCGAAGTTTTCATGTGCTCCGTCCAATAAGCTGTTTTAGACAGCCAAGACAGGTACTCCAACTGTCCATCCCAGAGATTCACGATGCCATCACGACATTGTGTGTCATAACAATAAGAGAGTTGCGAATAGTAGCTGGGCGAATATAACTGCTTGATGAACGCTGTTGCTTCTTGGGAAGAAATTGCGCGAAATCTGTCGTCGAGCTGCATCGTATCCTTAAAAAAGGTCCCTGTACAAATATGACCTGATGATATAGCATCTTCGTCATCCGCAGACCGCTTGTTTCTCATCATCCGACGCTGAGCGAGCGCTTTCTCCACTGGCTAGCGAAGGCGTTCGATGGGGAAGAAATCTGTACACGACGCACCGTTGTCGCATCGTCGCCAATGGACGATAGCCCCTGCGTATTGCTGGTGCGTAACGTTGCATCCGAAATGGCTCGTTTCACCGGGCAACCAAATCCACGGTCCCAATGGCGTCTCCGGTACACAGAACTGACGGAACGATCTCTGTCGTATCTCATCAACTTCTTGTTCAGCTGGAAGACGCTGTGGTACGGAACATATTCTCGTCTTCGGTTGGGACAGAGCAGATCAACGATTAGAATGTTTTCGGCCACGTCCACTACGCGCGCGTATCGCATCATCCCGTCGTCGTCCAGAACGTCCACGCTGGTTTTACGGCCCATTCCGCTCGGCATAATTGAAGGCGTGTGGTATACAAGGGAAAGGTAAACCCTTACCAAATGGACCACACTCTTCACTGCGTTGCCGGGGGGATAAGTTAATCACAATCCCGGAAACTTTGAACTGGTGCATCGTACTCTTGACAGCAGTAGGAAACACTGCTTATGCACGAGTTACTTGCAAGATTTGGCTCTAAACTAAATATAACTCTAATAAATCTTTTGCACTATTCGAATGTCGAAGCGACTGAAGCTAGCGGACGGCTGAGCGATTTCTGATTGCAGGTTAGTAGAAAAAAAGGGCACCCAATCAGCTTGTGCCGCAGCAGATGTGCCCAGGAAGCGCAAGCGGAGCGAATATTCAAGCGCAAATGACAATAAGCGTCTTTATACATAATAGCTAATATCATAATCATAATATATATTACTAAGCACTTCTCTTAAGAGGAGAGTGCGCATAGCGTTCTCCCAAACGGAATGCTAGCATTACATAACTGAAACTGTGCGCCTATAATTAAAACGTGTGCTTGCAACGAACGGGGGTGGAAGGCGGTGCTTGATGCCTACGAGGACGAGCTTAGTACATGTGATAGACAAAAAAACTAGCGAGAGAATCTGATAACCATGCCCGGCCCGTGCAACACGGGCAACCACCCAGGTTTGTCAGTGCTGGTAAACACATCACATTTAATACAAATAATTATCCCAGTAATACCGCACACTTTATTTCTTACAGTAAAACTTTGACTTTGTAGAACCACATGTGAAATTTCAGAGGACTCACTTTTTACCCATTCTGAAAGATTTTTTAATTTTAGTCGGAGTATTTGTCACATCGCTAAGTCCGCTACGAGTGTTTCTTTTTCGCTTATTTTTCTGCAGCAATTTTTCTGCTTCCCGTTGCTCGAGCGCTGCGATTACTTTACTGTCCGTCGCAATAAGCCCTGCTTCGGCGCGCAGACGAGAATCTTTAAGTTTTCTCTTTTTCTGAGGATGAGCGCTCATGAAATTATGGTGCCAATCTGCAGCCACTTTGTCAGCTGCAACCGATGGAAGAAAACCTTCTGCTTTAGAGATTGTGAACGCCACAATCTCTTCTATCTGTCCTTCAGTCAAAAGTGGAATTTTTCGAAGATTTGTGCGTATAACTTCCAGCTCGCTCACGTATACGGTGGCAACAGAAATGGGAACGTCTGATAGAAATTGGCTTGGAACAGGCTCTACGTAAGCTCGGCAGACCGCATCCGGGTTGAACGGATAGATTCCGGAAGAAGCAAACCCTGAAATAATATTGGCGGCCATGTTAAATTCATCCCATTTTTTCACAAGGTGACGAGCGAAGTTTTGTTTGTTAACCTACGATCAAATTTAATTTTTGGATTAATTTATCAGATTTATTTATTAATTAAAATTAGCATAAAAAATGAAAATACCTCTTCTTCAGCGATAAGGGTCATCAGTCGCAAATAATCCCGCCAATATTTTTTAACAGGGCCGTACACCTTCAGATCCATGGGTTGCAACTTCCCGGTCTGACCAGACGGCAGTATGACAACGGTAATATCTTTGTCAGACTTCATGCACTCCGATAAAAACTCCAGATTGAACATATGAGAGCTGTGCCCATCGAGAAAAATAACATTCTGAAAAAATACACAATATTATTATTTTTCAACATTAATTTTTTAATAAAATGAAAGAAATTTATGACAAATAATTTTTTAAATTTTTTTAATAGAGTAAAAGAAAACACGCACTTTTGCTGCCGTCATTTTGGGGATGACTTCTTCTCTGATATATGAAGTGAAAGTTGAATTATCCATCACGCCTGACGAGTTAAAGCCAATATGACATCTGTCGTCTGTGCCGTCAAAACGAGAAGCAAGGAAAACTTTGCCGTCAAATAAAATTAATGGTCGCAGAATTTCTCCAGCCGCATTGCCGCCCGCCAACACCGTGATTAGTTCGCGGTCGTTACCGTCATAGTACGAAAGGACCTCCTTTACCCCCCGCTTGGCGTATACCGTCGTCACTTTTTCCGCTACCTGGAACGCTGACTCGTCAAAATTCCAGATTCCTGCAGGATCAAGCAGCAGGCCCTCGGTATTAAGCTCACTCAATCGTTGTATCCAACCCTCCCGATTCTCCACGGTCCACTCTTTAGCCTTTTTTCGGGAAACGCTGTGTGAAATTCGCTGAGCAATTTTCGGGTGCCTTTTAAGAAATTCGCGATGCCAGTATGACGAAAACATCTTTCGATTTTTGGGCACATCTGTACAAGGTAAAATTTTTGTAAGTAAAAGAAAAACCAGTAACGTACAAATATTCTCACACTAACGTCACTGAATATTCCGTCAGAAACGGACGCATTCAATTTAAAAATTAACCAATATAAATAAATGCGATAACAGTCAATAATTTAATTTAATTTTACAGGAATAATTTTAAATCTCATTTTAGTTACCTTTATATTTGGTCAGTAACGGCACAATCCGCTTTAAAAATCTTTTATCCAGAGGGATGCCGTTCTCCGCACATTTCAGCAGCAGATTTTCGATGTAGTTTTCTTCGGCTTCCGAAAATTTTCTCATATGTGCGCCTTTCTTTTCCGTACGCACGCCCTTCAGTTTATTCCAGAACGAAGAGTAAGGAACCTTGTACTTTTTCGCTGCAGCGTACTGTGACAGGTTCCCCGTTCTACAAGCCTTCAGCGCCAAGGCCATACGATCATCGTACGCTGCTGGTAAAGGCACGTCGCTGGCAGGTTCCTCCACACAATTCTCACTCAACGGTAGGCCCGAAACAACGCTGATACTCGCGCAAGAAATCTCCATCGCAGGTGCAGAAAACAAACTGGCAGGTAGCCGTACGTCGGTGATATTCTCATCGTAGTACATCTTGCCAGATGAATCTTATTAATTATTTAGATGGTAATTTTATAACATTATTATCAAGAGCTTGGTTAATTAATGTCAGTCACTGGTTACTGAAAATTTTGCGGAGAACCAATTATAAACAAAGTTAGAAAACCAAAACAAAACTCGCATTTAAATTTTAATGCGAGTGTGCGTTACAGTAAATAGCAGGCCGTGTTCAGCTAACGGCTGCGTGACGGCGCGCGGCTACCGCCAGCCTAAGGTGGCTGACAGTGTTGCACAGCACGCAAATGGTTATCAGATTCTCTCGCTAGTTTTGTTGTCTATCACATGTACTAAGCTCGTCCTCGTACAGCAGTTTAACCCACCAAAGTCAGCTACCTGAAGGAGTGCGAATAGCGATTTGAAAATTGGTGTTTCGTAACGAAATAATTTGATTAAGGAAAATTAATTTTTTGGGAATTTTCGTGACCATAGGTCAAGCACGGCGATAGCCTGCCAAACTGACAGGGATGGGCATCCTGTCATTTGGCAGGTAACACGGCGAAATTTCTAGAAAATTACAGAAAGATGGCACTGCGGAGAACAACCACTTAAACGAAAGGTTTAGAAAATTCCTACAGTTCTCAAACTTTAGAATGGTCATCAAGATGACCAGTGGTCAGCAATACCAAAAAATGTTAATAAATGCATTTCTGAGCGGCAACTTGTTAAAAAAGATACGATGTGCACTTTGCTTAAATAAAGAAACGTACAAAATTATCCTGAGTCAGACAAGAGCGGCAATTTGCATCCTTTCCAGTGAATGTACGGTGTTTGTCTCCGAAGCCCGTGCTTAACTGCGTGTTAAGAACAGTGTTGCCCCCCTTCGGTGTTCCCGCTTCCGTTTATTCGTGGACTTTTTGTGGACTTATCAGTGCGTAAATGGTACACTACTAACACTCTAAGCAGCCTACAGTCTGTATAAGCAGTCTTTGAGCCGAACACCCAAGCGACAACCCGCACAGTACTACCAACAGTGTGCGGTTTACGGCGCACTGGTACTTTATAATTTATTTCCACCTGGTCATTTCCGCTAGAGCTCGGCAACTCTCTAAAGGTGACACAGCGGCTGAACGCAGCAACCATATGCAATTTGTGAGAAGCTGTATAACTACGTTTTTACATAAATCACGTTCACAATAATTCAAATGGTACCGTTCCGCCATATGCCGGACAGGCCCGGACTAGATATAATAAGTATATCATTGTTTTCAGAATGTACATTAGGGAAACGTCTCCAAAATTTCGTTGCCGAAATACGAAAACACTTATCTCTCAGTAATTAACGTTCGTTTTTACAGTTTACACTTTATTATTGTATAATTGTACAAGTTTTATCATACAAAAAAGTGAATTTTCCAGCATTTTTTTGATTTGCTGACCACTGGTCATCTGAATGACCATCAGAACACTAGAGTTGGTACTACTCTTTTTTCTTGATTTATTGAATCTAAGCTTGGTTTTTCATTATGTTTCCAAGATTTGATATGGAATTTATGAGATTTATTGTTAAAGTTGCACCATGCCCATCCCTGTCAAACGTGGCAGGAAATTTTCGAATGACCATCTTTGTCCACTGTCCAGCTATTTTTTGGGCCATGCAATGCTTTTGCAATGTGTGCCACAGGGTGGGTTTCAGTGAATTATATGTGAATTATCGGGTGCTGGGGAGGCCGTATGTACAGCCAAGACCTCCGCGAACCCCAAAGGTGTCATTTTGGTATTCTTTGGTCACTTGCTGTGTGGCCACAAAAACGTTGAATTCGATGGCCAAATTTTTAAAATGACCAGAAACATTCCTACTCTAGAATAGAATCACTAATAACGAGTTTACTGCATTGTGGGCCGCTACAGGAATTAAGTCCGCCACCCTGCCATTTGACAGGGATGGTCGGGAACGGGTTAACCAAGAAAGCGTCTGCAAGCATTAGCATGTAATACAATAGGAACGCCAAGCGATCACAAAATTTATGTCTGCCAAGCTATAAGCGAATTGCCGGAGATGAAATTAGAAAACGACCATACAACAAGCTGCTGCGGACAACCTCATACGCGAGTCTGCAAACTCATAAAATGCTCCGAAGATAGGCCAAATTTGTAGACAACGATAAAAGTGGAACTATACGGAATTATTGACTATGCTGTTGTCGCATAATGACCCATACTGATGTCCCGAAATTAAAAAAAGTATGCACATAGCTAACGAGAATTAAAATATTAACGGCGACGTGGCCGACGAAGCGAGCAGTATCTACTCCCGTTTGCTGTGGTCCTTTATCGGCCACGCGGTAAAATCAGCCAGCTTTTTCAACTCTTCATAGGTGCGTGATTCGGGGGAATTCTTCCTGTGCGCGTTGAGGACCGTTACTGTCATCAGATCCGTTATTCCGTTCGCGATGTAGTTGACGTCTCTATCTGCATTCCACAAACGGCCCGCTTCTAAACTGATCCGCTCAAAGTCAGGTACAAATTCGGCCAGCAGCGCCTCCATTTTACTCATTACGAACGAGTATTTGTTCGGAGGACTTCGGTAGTTGAGGAAGTTTCTGTAGATTGCAAACATAATAATTTAGTGCCAGGCTGCCAGAAGATCTTACCACCGAAAGTACTGTCAGAACGTTATTTTTAAATTCGCAATGCCACCAGATCAGCGTACTCATTATCAGCATCTTACCGGGGACGCTCTACTATACGATTCACCAACTCTCTCAGCGACATCCGGTCCAAATTCAGCAGAATGAACACTGCCTGATAACGAGTATCGCCAACTGGGTTCTGGGCAAATTTAGCCCCTTTGATGACATTGGTGTCCATTTCCCGAATTTTTCGCTCTATCGATGTCAGATCTGAAACAGCAAATTCCAGAAAATCGCCACAGCAGAAATTATCTGTAACCGAAGACGCGAACCGGCGCACTATTTCACCTACTTCGTACAGTACTTAATAATCCTAATGGAATTACTGGATTTTACTGAAATCGACCGCGCAAGTTAGACTACAGAGTGAGTGTACGTAAAACAGCACACGCGCAGCGTATGTATGCCCATGCGTTTTGCACAAGTTGATTTCGCATTTTCTGCATGGACGGTTGGCTCCATCTTCACGGACACCTGGCTGAGTTGGCTCCATTCATGGCACATGTAGTCGGAGCTGTTCCTACAAATGGTAATAGGGTAAAGATGACCTGCCGTTAAATTCCGCAGTCAGTGCAGGGGAATCGAGACGCAACGGTGAAGGAAACATGCAAAACAGGCAAAAAAGAGATGGCTTAATCAAATAGTGAGGTCTTAATGTATCCGCAGTTTATATAGCAAGTTTGGACGAATTCTACGGAATAGTGCCAGTCACAGACGTACCGATTCCGATTGTGACGCTTTCCCGGTTGAACACTTTCCAGTTACGGCGTTTACTTTTTTCCTGCCACCTTCTCTGAACGGTTTCCACAGCTGCTTGAATTCCGGTCGGTAAGGCTTCTCGCAAGATCGCTTGAACGGCGGTGTTATCCGGCTCATTATCCATGCGCAACATGAGGAGCTCAAGTACTTAAATCCACAACTTCAATCGCATAGACGCGGAATTTCCGGAACACATGGTTCCTGTCAGCCGACGCAGTGGACCAAGGATCTTCTTGCACATTGTACAGCGCTGCCAATTTTTCCTGATGGGGCCGTAGCTGTCGACCAAGGGAGGGTACTTCGAGCACAATACGTGATCATCGTCGGCCGCCGTGTTTTACCTCCGGTCAGCGAATGGGCTGCTGCAACAATAAGAAACATAAATTAACATTCTCCTGCGCAATCAACCAAACAATTTGAAAATAAACACTGTCAGTGCGCGCGGAAACGAACATCTTACCGCTAATCAGATTAGGTCCTTCGCACCAAACAGTCGACCTTAGTGTAGTGCCAAAGAAATTCCACTGCAACTGCGCTGTTGATTGCATTCTCTCATTCCGATGAAACGGTCCGTACAGAAAACGCGAAAACAAATTGGCGGAGGAACTCATGGTAGATGCTGATGCCTTCTGGACGACTACAAGCTGAACCTAACCTAGCCTAGCCATACAATTCTACATTCCGTTAAGCAGTGCTTTCGGTACCACAATCTTCCATGTCAGTGATGTCAATGAAGTCGATAACCCAGTTTGCATTACGGCCGCAGCAACAACCACAAAAACCAACAAAACCGCATTACTCTATTCAAATCGTCCTCCATTGTTCTCTGCTTAACATCCGTAACAAGTATAACGCAGGCTTTTTGGTCAATGAACATGGTACCGGGTGGTACCGCTGGCTGAGTTGCTCCCGTCCGCCGGGTGCTGCTCAGAAGACTCCCCATTTTTCCCTTCACAATTTTTCCAGTCAAGTTTGAAGGTAGGAAGTGTTCAGGAACTAGAATTCTGTAGTATTCACTTAAACCAGAGAGAAAAAGCCGGTAATATACTGAAAGGAATCTAACTGCTTCACAGAAAAACCTAGGGTAATCAAAACACGGTACAAGAATGTTTTCTGCACGAAGAATCAGTAACTGACTACTGAAATAACTGCGACTCCAAGTACGCAAGTATTAGTACGTACCATTTTGGTACGCAAAGTATTGGTACGTACTATTTTGGCCGTTGCCAAATGCGCACCGTTCAGAGTTCCTTGGTGCATTTTACGCTGCCCAAAACACTATCAGTAATTTTAGCTAATTGTTTAAGGCTTTGCCCATAAAGGCTTTTGCAGAATTTTCATAACTCTAGCAGAAGTAGTACGACTCGTACGTACACGATGAACAAAAGTGTAGCGCTGCAGCTCTGCGCAGTTGTTGTACAGCTCCAGATCAACAAAAGATTACGCCGGCACCCGGCATGACTGGATGATTTCGTCAAAACATGTGCGCTGTTGACTTTCCTCAGCAAATACAAGAGAAACGTTATCCTCCATCGTAAATTTCGTTGTCCCACAGTGTTTAGCATATTAGGAGAGCGGTTCGGCTTGTTCTGGTAGGTGTTTTCTTAAGCGAGGGCGGGGCAGCTCATTTGTCATACGGCCTGCATCCAGCCACCAGGTCCACCGCCAGATGCTGTCGTTTGGTTGCGTGATGGTCTCCTGTATTGCAAGTTTTTTTATTAC